CCTCACGCAAATCGGACGACCTGACTTGATACCCGTGCACCCCTGTGATTATGCATCCCCCTAATCCTCCCCTAATCCGTCACTCAATCAGTCACATCTACCTACTGATACAGACATGCATTCCCGCGTAAACTACACACCGCGACTGACACTCTCCGTGAACAAACGCTTATTTGATAATTTTTTTAAAGACCCGTCGGGTTCCCATCAAAGCAAGCAAACAGCCAACTTACGGCAACCTGCCCTGTGTACAGAATAAACTACTCCTCACGGCTCCCTGAAGTCTAACATTAGACGGAACGAACTTATCGTGCGCGGTTTAAGTTGATCTCACATCCTTGATCGCCACAGTCTAAAAGGAAACGGACGTTTCAGACATCCAAAGCGAGGTACTTATTTTTTGCCGAAAATTTTGAAATGACAGTTTCCGAATAAAGCTTATTCTCTCTTCCTGTCAGCTCTACAGAGACGGCATGAAGACGAGACTTTATATTAGTCCTTCTCTTCCTACCCTCTATGTCCCTTCCATCATTTTCAGCCGCTGAGATCAACCCGACTGAGTGAGCAAGACAGCACTCTACCCATTGTGTCATGAAACCAGTTCAGAAGATCTTATGTTGAAGTTCATCCCGCAAAGGCCATTGCAGGCTGATTCCCAGTCCCAAGCTTCATGTTATCCTGTCAGTTTGCCACCTTTCGAGCCAAAGTTATTAGGGCGATGTTACCGCTTGAATGCGCATACGATGTACTGTAATGAAGGAATATTGTGCCGAGTTTGCCAGTAACTCTCCCTCTGCCACTCGCATCCTTCTGTGGGTCATAGTGGGTGAAGTCGGCAAATGGTGTGAGCAGTCATGGCATTTCGCCCCCGTCTTAAGGGTGCAGTACGGGCGCTGACTGAGCCATATTTCACACAAACAACTGCCAGACTGTGCTCGTTTCAGGCCCGACTTAATTTGGATGCCAATTGTTGAGCTACCGGAATAGTCCATTGACTACTTCGAGGTCCACTTGAAAACCCACGATCGACATGCTGGTATATGAACCTACATAATATTGTTTCTTCAACGTATGCAGAGGTCTCCCTCGTGTTGCTGTTATTAACACTGCACTCCGCGTTGCCGGGGTAGGGCAGTCACCTCCCACAACAATTCGTCACCCATGCACACGATTTTCAATCGACGCGCTCTCTTTAGCACTTAGCGTGATGTTGGCATGCCCTCGCCTGCGTGAATCGACGCGCGCGCGCGCGCCATGCGCGCAGCTCGTGGAGCAGGCTGTTAGTGATGGCGGTGGTGGTGGTGTTTATGTGCGACTGCACGTCAGCCATGTACGTGCTGGTTGGCACGCGGAAAGTTTAAGCAGCGTATATCCAAGCTGTCACCGCTAGGACCGTTGCAGCTACCTGTGCGATGGCTACAAAGAACGAATTAAGTGGCTGTTGTACCATCTCTTTCAGTGCCAGTGGGAGTTTAGGCACCCGAGTGGCCACCTGAGGTAACTATTAACTACGCTGACGGGTCGCGGACCGCGCCTTTTTCCATTTCCTCTCTACGGGGACAGGAGAAACCGATTACCGAAAAGAGTGGTTTGAAAGAGGCTATAAGTCCTGCCAGAGAGCGCTGTGTCTTTTGGATCACCGAAACATTCGTGTGTTTCATCGATAGCGCTTGAGGCAATAACCCAGTGCAACCAGCTGTACTGTTCTTGAGTATGGCGAGCCCGATACGATTGCACTGTCTGAAAAAATTTCGGAAAACGCTACGCCTGCGTAGCTGGGCTACTTCGCCATCAAAGAGCTCCACGGCATAACGGACGCTCCTCTACATTCTGTCCTCCTTCGAAGACAGCTGAATAACGCCAGTGCCACTTTCTGTTTCACCTACAGGTAATTAATTACTGGGCCCTTGGCCAAGCAGGTGACTATCCATAGCAGTCACTGGTGCGTATCTTGTTTTTCTTACTCAGACGATCTAAAAGCGATTTATGAGAGTGCACCGGCGCGCTGACTAGGGGCAGAAAAGTGAAATTGCAATAGCACATTTAAACGTACCAGGACTCAAACAATAAACCCCAAAAGAAAACCGGATATATATTCTTAGAGTCGAGTGACCGGGGCCAGCTTGCGGCTTTCCATTAAGTAATCATGATCAAACACATAAAGTGACCTAGAGAGATGTATTTACAGTATTCCTCAGGCCATAGTTAGCTCAAACGCTCATCCTCTTGTTGATGCACCTTTCGTCTGCCCTCTGAAGTTGTGTGGAGCCCTCAGCCGCATCGGCTTGTCAGCTGACGATTACGCACGCGCAGTTGAGCGTCTCTTTGGTCGCCGCCAGTGATGATCCCTCGAGTGCACGCGAGGACTTCAGATCTGAGGCCGTCTTCACTGGGTTCCAGGCGGTCATCGCTTGCTGGCATTTCGTACGACCGCTCACCTCTCTCATTGCCTCTGGAACAGACTGTGCATTACGCCTCGTTATAGACCATCTGCTTCAGTCTATCTGTCTTTTTTGTCATTCGGGAAGCTCGCCACGGTTTCCTATCGTACTCATTAAACCGTGAATTGGACGTGGGGTCCTAAATTAAATACCGCCAGGAGGACAACCATGTGCAGATAATGCTACCAGGACTCAGAGTCATGTGTGAGCAATGTCCTGTACAGATGGTATGGTCGACAAGACAGGGAAGACGGATTGTTTTGGACAACTTTTATTGCCGAGGAAGTGTGTACACAAGGGCTCTTCAGGCAGTCGCCGAGAGCAGTCTCTCTAGGAAATGTGTGTTATCTGTGTCCGCCGTTGAGGTGTTTAGACCCCAGCGCGTGAGTGCATCTTTCGGTGTCTCAGTGTCCGCCACCAAATCAGAGACGGGGCAGCACTGACTGGCCTCGAGCACTCGCAAGGCTAATGGCAAACCTCACGCGTCCCAGCGGTCGATCGACAGGGACTGTGAGGCGGACAGGAGGACAGCGTGACAAAACGGCGGAGAACAAGAAAGCGCGGACTATCTAACAGTCCAACTATCTGACCAGATTTTGTGCCAGAGCCAAAGAACTCCGTCCTGCAGTCTCCCGGTAGGTTCAAGAAGGCGATAATCGCGAAGTATTGAGATAGGTAAGTGGTCATTTCCGATTTTTTCCTCCATCATGCTCAGCATAGCCCAGACCGCGGAAACTGAACGCATTAGACCGAATGCGGATGATTGTCAGTGGAATAAGAAGACTCGTGTCTGTCCGACTGCACGTGATCATATTTAAGGTCGCGTGGGAGAGATCTACAACTATCTGGCCTGAGAGCGGGACGATATGTCGGCATGCTGCTTTGCCTTTAGAGTTCGATAGCTCAATAGCACACCTTACTCAGCTAGGGCTGGATGACAACATACTTTCACGTTCGTGGAGCATGTCCTTCCCTCTCCTCGCCAATACCAACGGCGTTGTCGTTCCTGTCATTGTGTTCCTCATTTACTGCGCCCAGCCCCATCAGCTGACTGGCGGACCCAGAGAGTCCGTTAGTGCAGGGGGAGAGGGAGAGGTGGACATTGGTAATCCATATCCCCGGCAAGTCGGCGCATTCCTCACTAATAGTAAATGTGACGCACTGAGATCTATCACAATGCGCTAAAAGCTGTAGCTTGGAAGGTAACCAACTGACGGGATAACTCGATCCCTATTGGAGCGCGTGAAGAACTCTGAATTAGACAGAAACGGTTCCTCACTAAACATGACCTTCATGGCACTCTTTCAGCTGCCCTCACAGAAGCCTGGTGAGAACTGGGTCGTGTGTGTGGCACGCGTGGACGGACTTTAACTTTGCCATTCGCTGCGCCCAAACCCACTTCCGGTTGTCTTTACACTGCCCTGCCATGTTCGAATAAGCGACGCTTGCCATGATTCGCGAAATAACGATTTGTCGTGCTGCCACGCAAATCGACTTTCACATTGAAGCAGACTGGAGACATTGCATGTACCCAAGGTAGCAACAAAGCTAACGGCAACTCGTAAATAGCAGGGATGTAGATTACTTTTTTGGGATAGAAGGTTTTTCATATATAGTTGTCAATGACCGACCTAGTCATTCCCCTTATTCCTTAGATCGAATAAGTGCAGTAGGTATCTTGCCTAATTGCCGTAACTATTTATGAGAACATTTTACCCACTGAAAGACTTTAAATTCAAAAAGTAACAATTACTGCTACTTTTTCACTTCGTCCCATAAGTGCGCGTGACTGAAAAGGACTGGGAATAAGGCCAAAACAACGTTGACGCAGTATTCAACTAGTCTGTCGGTTCAACTGTTTGCGTTTGCTGATCAAGGTTGGCC